CGTCTCGGTCGCGCTCCCCGGGGCTGCCGCCGCTCTCGGGCCCGGACGCGTCCCCGCCGCCCTCCTCTGGACCTTCTGCAAAACCGTTTTGAATTTCAATAGACAGCGATGACTCCATGCGCGAGCGACCCGCCCGATCAGCCTTCACCGCGGATGCGCGTTTTACGACGGGACGCTGCGAAGTCTGCCAGAGGCGATTGATGGAAGACTGCAAGGGAAGCTGAAGGGAAGCTCAGCCTACCCTAAAATGTCCAAAAAAAACTAAGCAATCAAATAAATGTGTGTACGTACATGTCATTGACTAAATATGCGCTACAACGCGCTCCGCTTTTATTCTGAATCAGCTTCTCCTTACTGGTCACTGGACGCGACTCTCTTCTCATTCATTCCCGCAGCTTGGCCGAGCTTCAAACAGCGCGGACGCTGGGCGTCTGGTCTCGACAGTTCAGGGTAGGTTGTCCCAATGCATTGAAACGAGACGAGTCATTGGATCAATGCTGCTTTTGTCCCGCCCGTCGGACGCTCGGCGGCGTCTTTGGGAGTCTACGGACAGTGGGCGTGTATCGGCTGCTCCGGACGCTGAGCTTTTCTGCATGATGATCGGATGATCTGTCGGAGGCGGAATCGTTTTTTGATTGACAGCGAAATGAGCCAATCACCGATCTTTTGGTGCAGGCATCCGCGAGAGCATCCTTCAATTCTCATTTTTTTTCTGAGTTAAACTGGAGACCTTTTCGAATCATTTTAGCGACACTCTCTTTGTTGAAAATGACTCGCAACAAATTCATATTTTATTTCTGCTGGGTTTTATGGTAGTTACTATAGTTGGAGGACACTCGTTAAGTCGCTGGAAAAGACGCCTTGTCGGGATGACGGGGTCACAGGTCATGTTCTTGAAAAGGAACGGAGAGTCGAATTCACGTCGAAATAAACGGACGCATTTGATGATGTCGGTCGGCCGAAATTGAGCATCCGCCACTGCTGCCCGCTGAAGGAGAAAGGGGATTTCGGCTCATCGGACGAAACAATTTGGAACGTTGGCTGCATGGTGAAAACGCATTGGAATGGATTGAAAAACACCTTGCTTTGTTTTGGGCTTTTTTTTTGGGGGGGGGGGAATTTCCTCATCGCCAAATTGATGCAAATGTTGCAGGAAGCAACTCGGCCTCATATCCTCAACGTAATCGGAATAATCATCGGCATAGGAGTGGGATTGCCCCCAAATTCTTCCCCCCCCTCCCCTTTTCAGGCTACGTCTTCATTCGTTTGCATTGATTTTGGTCGTCTTGTTTATCTTGGCCGCTGCCTGAAATAAGTGAAGAAGATCCTGTTCAAAATGCGCACACGAGGCAGCAAAAGGGGAGCGCCTCGATTGTGTTGCACTTTGACGACGCATCTTTAGGTTGTGACGCGCTTCTTTTTGTGACCTCTCCGAAGGAATTTTATTTTTACATGTGTGGAAAAGAATGTAAAAAAAAAAAAACGATATAATGTGGCTTACAAGCACGTCTTGGATTTCAAACGCTCGCAATGTTATTGTAGTCTTGAACAATTTTTGACGCAATAAAAATTTCGTCGATCTTTTTGACAAAAGAACGCATTTAATCTGACGCGTGGAACAAGGTTCGTGTCCCGTTTGACATGGAACGAATCCTTTTTCAGAAAGCTGTTTTACACGCGCCGACGTGTTTTCTGGATGCCTGTTCTTTTTCTTTTTTCTTTCTAAAACGTGATTGTGCGGATCAAAATGTCAAATTGAAAACGGCGACGGCGGCGTCTTTCGCGTGTCCCGTGTCAGTCATCCCGACGTTTGTGGAGGCGCCCCCCCCCCTCTAAGTGCGGATCTCTCTGTTGCTTTCGTTCGCTCCCGTTCCGCCGGGTTCTTCATGTCCGGGCGGATAAACGCGCACTTGAAGGCGCGGAACTGGCAGGCCGATGAGAATCTCAAGTATTTGTCCTTTTTCGGGCCGACGGGAGCGCAAAGGCAAAAACGGCGCACGAAGCAAACGGCCCCTTTCCTTTCCTTTCCTTTCCAGCGGGGTCAGTTGCATCCAGACGCTGAAACGTTTTCACCTTTCGATCGTCGTGAATTCACGCGACAATGTCGCTGAGACGCATTTTGACGATGACGTTCAATCCGCCCCCCAAAAAAGTGACATTGCGCAATAATTGACGCTTGGACCCGTGCACTGCAAAACCGGCGATCGGGGTTCGTCGGCGATCGCGGAGTTCGGTGGATCGAAACGGCCGCATGGGCACGAATGTCACGATTTGCCACCAAAAGTGCAAACGCTCCGTTTCGTCGACACGCTTTCCGACTTATAGCCAATGTTTTTTTTTTTTTTTTGCAAGGACAGTGTAGCGGGTGGCGACGCTCTCCGGAGCTTTTTTTTCGACTCAGACGATGAACGCGCTCCGTTTGGCGCGGGTTTCTTTTCGGGGAGAAAAAAAAAAAAACCCAAAGAGGAAGAAGAGCGTGAGCTGAACTCGCTCCGCGGGCGGCCGTTGGCGCGCTTACCTGGCCTCTTGTCCTGCCGCGCACTCCTCCAGCCGCCGGCGGGGGCCCCCTCGGCGGCGGGGCCGACCCTCAGGGCCTCCGGCAGCAGGCCGTCCAGGCTCTCGTGGGCCTGCTGGCGGCGCAGGGCCACCTGGGCGGCCATGACGCGCTGCCGCTCCACGATGAGGATGCACTTGTCGCAGGCGCAGTCCTTGAAGCGGCAGTAGCGCTTGTGGCCCTTGAGCCACGACAGCACGCCGTGGTTGCGGCACCGCGCGCACTTGGGGGTCCGCTGGAGGGGCGCCCGCGGCGCCGGCGCGCCCACGTACAGGTACGGGGAGCCGTAGCCGTCCATGGCCCGTGCTCTGAGCGCGACGACGGCGATCGAGAGAGCGCTCGAGAAAGAGAGAGAGAGGGGGGGGGGTATGGGCGGGGGGCACCCGCGCCGGGCGGCGCGGCCGCTTCCCGCACACGCCCACCCGGCCGGCTCTCCGTCCAAACGCGCGCTTGGCTGGGAAGCTGCGGATTTGTCACCTCGCGCTCTTGACGTTTGCCGACTGGAGTGCTTTGTGGAGAAAGGAAGCCAAGCGGGCCGCTCGGACCTCGCCAAAGATGGGCGGAAAACGTCACGCCGCGTCGCGGAGGGAGGAGGGGATTCGCCGATGAATGAGGGCCTCGCCCGCCCGCCCACATGGATTTATTTCCATTTCCAATATTGGAGCGAAAAAAAACACCACCGCAATATTACTTTGTCACCGTATTCCTTTGCCATCATATGTGCGTTGTCGGCAGAACAGCAGACTTCTCTTTTTAAACGATACTTTATCCTTGATGATTTGCTTTTTTTTCTTTCCGACAAGATCAACGAAAAAATCGCAGATTTCGGGTTGCATGTCGTGATCTTTGTCTCGTTTGTCCATGGGGAAAAAAAACAAACAAGAATTTGCAAAAAGCCGCAAAAGAGTCAGAAGACGTTTGCCCCTTTTAATCGGTTGAGCCGACCTAATATGACCCGAATATTCATCATGAGCATGTGCAGTGTTCTGAGCATGTTTTGGAGGGCTTTTGACATCACAGTTCCACCGATGATTCTTTTCTTTTTTTTTTTTCTTTTTTTTGAAAGAACTGGGTCAGATAACTCATTAAGATAACACTAAAGACTGAAGTAATTTCATATTCGGATATCTTATTTCGGATGTCCGGCTTCTCTCTTATCTGTGTATGCGGTGTACATGTAGATCGATAGCCAGATCTAAAAGTGAGTTCACTTGTGCGTTGAAGAAACATCTCTTCAAATGTCTTCCAAAAAAAAAAAAAAAAAAACCCTCCTCAAATAATTTTCTCATTCATGTCGAGAAAACTCCACATGAACCAATGTTCTGAAAAGTGAATCGCTTGAAGAGTGTTTCACGTGGACGACGTCGTTTGTCGACTAAGAAATGAAGACCCCAAATGTGGCCCCAAAGTAAGATCCAGATATGCATTTTAAATACATATGAGAGAAAAATATGCACGAGACGAACATATGGTGCCATTCGAGTTGCAAGAACAACGCTCTAGTATTGATCCCAAGTGTGTGCATTTTGCATCGTCAACACGTCGTCGTTGCACGCTCGAATTCGCTCTGTTCAATGGCTGAGCATTAAAAACATGAGAAATGTCGTCAAACGAGCGGAGTGTTGAATGCGGATGATTTGACGAGCCGTTAGATGAACGTGAACTTGAAGGATGCCCGCGTTTTTCAAATAACTCATTTTACCATGTCGATAAATCTTAAAATGTTTGAAAGGTGGGTGATCTGTCAAAAATCAACTCGATTCCTACTTTGACCGCATCTTTTCAATCTCAAAGTGAATCCAATGCATGTGGAAAAAAATATGATTCAATATTTTGATTTTTTTTTTCCACCACGTTTTTTTTTTAAAATTTCTTCTTCAGATACTCACAGGCATGCCATTGTATTCTTTATCCTCCGTGAAGAGCAGCTTGCTGAGTGAGTTGTGGCAGTCTTCATGCATGTGTCCGAGACTGCCCTGCTCATTGGCATTTGGTTTTTGTTTTTTTTTTTTTCACACTTGCATCTGACCACATTCGGACTGTTGAACTAGGAAATGGCGACTTTGAACTTAGCTTGCCAGACGGTTTGAGGTCGGAATCGGTGATTCCCCAAGGCCTGAGGAGGTTTGGGGCCATGCAAACAAAATGGAGGCGAAGACGGCCGTGATGAGGACTCGCCGATTGCGGGGCGGGCCTGGCGCTCACAGGGCGGCTGAGTGAACGCTCCCCAGGGAGCGATCTTGGCCACACGTCTCAATCGTAATTGTCTTTTGAGAATAGCTCCCAAAAGTGGACAAATAGCAAAAGCAGTTGTATACAACACAGCAGCTTCGCGCACGTTTCCCGACATCGACGCTAGCTAGCTACCTGGCTAGCTAGCTACCTGGCTAGCTAGCTTGGGAAACTACAGTAGCGGGCTAGCTAGCTAGCTAGCTAGTTAGCCTGTTACTGTAGTTTCTCTATCAATACAATGCCTAATTCTTTCTTGACACTGCACTTTCACAGCGCATCATTTGGCAATGACGGAATGCGGCCGACGATACGGCTGTCTTTGTATTTATGTATTCGCGCTTACATGACAACAGTTTGCAGTAGTTTTTTTCAGGACCAGCGGTTCGACCAACGCCTGTCACAATATGATCCGTTTCCTCTTCTGTGGTTAGCGTCACAAAATCCACTCGATGCTCACTGAGCTGAAGTCTCAGCAGACTTTACGTAAGGACAATTGGCATACCTGTTTTTTTTTTTTTTTCCCCCCACGATTGTTTCAGCGGCACATTTCTGTCCTGTTCTGTGGCTGCGGTCACAAAATCCCTCCGCATCTCACGAGATTCTGACGTTTTGAGGCCAAACAAACACCAAGCCGGCGGTCAGGGGGGAAGGGGGATCGAGTGGGGAAAGCGGGAGAAAAAGCAACGGCGAGACACTTGCTTCTCCCCGTGATGAAACGGGCTCCCTGAACTAAAGTCGTAAAAGCGCCGGCCATCAAAGTCAATCTTGTGTAAAATCCAATTAAGTCATTATCTGACTGATTGTATCTTTAATTGAAAACAGAAGTGACAGTAAATTTGTGTGATCTATCAGCATCGATCGATACTAGCGCCGCCACTGATTTATGGCGGCGCGGCGCTTATAGGTAACTCCACATTCTTCGCCCTAAAACCACTCAGGGATGAAATTAAGAGTAAGTGCGTTTCATAAAGGGGGGTCGGGGAGGGGGGACAAGACGCCGGCGTTATTGATTCCAGCAGATGGGGCGCGACCCGCTGAGTGTCGGAGAGCGCAAAGAAAACACTTGGACTTTGTTTTTGCGCCGCCCTCCATCATTTCAGCCCCGCACACAAACTTGTAGCCACATAAACTGCGGAAAACGCTTCCCGTGAAGAATCTCCGTCAGGCGCCTTCACGTTTTTACGCTTGCAATATGAAAACGGATGATCGTGTGGAGAAAAAGACTTACGCGGCTCATTTGGTTTAGCCACGCGAGACTTTTTTGCCGCCTGTGGCGGCGGCGGTGACATCATCTCCTCCCAAATGCTCAGTCAGACTGCCCAGTGACTCATTCTGCAATTTTGGGTTGTTTTTAAAAAGTTGTCAAATGCTCGGGATGGAGTTTGGACTCTCTTCTTGATTGGACACTCTGACGAGTGAGTCTTTATTTGAGCATGAAACAGAAAAAGACGACGACCTGGAGAAAAGAAATCAACGCAGAAATGAAACAACATCAGGAAAAAAAAAACAGACTTGCAATGACAACAACCAACGAGAAGGAAACGCAACCATTTTGGGCCACGGAAACACAGCGATCGGAGCAAAAAGCCAAAGAAGAAAACATGAAAGAATGAAAGAAAATGTAGAAAAACACAAACGAGAAAGCGACAGAAAAATCAAACGCAAAATGAAAGCAAAACACACAACGGAAAGACCAAAATTTGTGACATGAAAACTACATTTGAGGGGGGAAAAAAAAATGACACGGCTTAGAGGAACGGCCAAAACTGGAACGCAAATACGAGAGAAGAAAGCCCAGAGCAGAAAATGAGCGGCACAAGAACGAAACCAGAGAAGCCAAAGAAAAGTCCGAAGAAAACAAACCAAAAAGCACTGCAAGAAAAGTCAGCAAGAATACAAGAAAGGCCAAGACAAGCCCCAAACTTGAGGAGAAAACGACACAAGGAAAGGCCCCCGGCGGCCTCGCTGTGACGAACCCGCCAAAAATGGGGCCAAAGTCGCAGCAGACCAAAACGCAGACGCAAAGCCAAAGAAAAAGCAACACGAGAAGCGGACCGGCCGAACAAGACGGCAATTTGTGTGCGTGCCCGCGTGCAGAAGAAAACTCGAGTGATCGGAGAAGAAAACAGAACAAGAAGAACACAGATGTGAAGAAAATCATTTGTCAGAGTAAAAAAAAAAAACAACAAGAGAAAGGCCGACTACAGATTGTGAGCTTGTTGAGGATCAGTGAAAGAATTCAAGGCCTGAGGATTATTCACGCACAACCTCGACCGCGTGCGATCCGAAAAAGGCATCAAGCGTCGAATCATTCGCAGTGACACAAAGTCACCGGCCGCCCGTGTTCATTTGCCCTCGTCTTCGTCGACGACGAGGCGGTCGGAGCCGCCGCTTCCGTCGTCCAGCTCCGGCTCGACGACGGCGGGGCCGAACGCCGCCGAGTCCCGGTCGCCGCCCGATGACATGGCTGCACACACACACACACACACACGCAGAAAAAAAACAAACAGATTCCAATCAACGATGCGTTCATTTCCGAAGGGATCTCAGGCACTTGAGAAGAGATTTGAAATCAAATCCGTGTTGGTCCCCATACCGTCGTTTTCAGGTGTGTGACTTTGCCAGGCTTGTCCAAAGTTTCATGATTTTTTTTTTTTTGGGGGGGGGGCTGGGGGGGTGCATGTTTAGCCCCTCAAGCATGCCAATCATTTGGCGTAACTTTGGCGAGGAATCATTTCGACAGGGACGTGCGGCCATCTCTGATCAAGCGATCGAACAAATTCATATTGATCCATTTTTTTTTTGTCATGAAAAAAGATCAATCAGGCCGGTGGTCAGTACACGTCCATTTCCCTGGAACGATACGGAAGGTCCCTCGACATTTCCGTCATCGCTGAGAGTCGCTTGGATGGCGGCCTCGCCGCGGGCTGGCGCCCCCTCCCTGCCGACCTCCTCGCGCTCGTGTCGGGAGGTCATTTCTCTCCTCGTGAACTTCCCCGTTGGTTCAGGACGCTGACTTTTGGGGGCCCCGTCCGCGCTTCGTCGCCACTTTCAAGCGGGAGCCTCCGCCGTTCAAAGGGATGTTTGTGTAGCAAGGTGCCGTCAAAGCCACTGTGGGAGTGTGTGTGTGTGTGTGTGACTTGTGTGGGGGAGTAGTTCAAGGTGCCGGGGGTGTTAAATGAGGACGCGTCTAATTCACTTTCCTGTCACATCTGTATGAGCGAGCCGAGTGCAACGTGATTTTCACGGTCGATGAGCTCCACGTAGCCGCTTACTCAATTATTGTCAATTTCACTGCCGCTAATTAATGACGGATTATTAATTAGTGGCTGTGAACTGACGACGCTTCCGTTACCGAGCAACGGCGGGAAATCCGCGGCAAAACGGCGACGGGGCCTTTCAAACTTTTGACTCTCAAAAGCAATTGGGCCAAAGTTTGCGCCGACGGTGGACGCGGACGGAATGCTAACGTAGCAAACGCGACAACGCAACATCACGGCGGCGGGACGCGGCAAAGTCGGCGAAAGGTTTTGCGGTCGAGAAGGAAATGAAGTGTCGCCGCGGTTCGGGGCCACCCTCGCACCTCGCGCGGGCTGTGATTGCGCCAACAGCGATTCAATCTTCACAATGAAAAGTAGCCTGTCACTTGACAAGGTTAGCTCGGGATGAAATGGCTCTCATTAAAACGATACGAGCACAAAATGGCCCTGGACACTTTGGGGTGTGGGTGTGTGTGTGTGTGTGTGTGTGTGTGTGTGTGTGTGTGTGTGTGTGTGTGTGTGTTCGTCATCATCAGCCGGCCCAGCGCGACTTAATGATCCGGAAAACTCAGTCAAAGGGCAGTCAGGCAGGCGGGCGGCCTTTCAAGATGGCGGCTCACGTCTCCCCCAATGACGTTCACCCGGCGAACTTTCAGCCCCGCTTTTCTGTTTTGTTTGTTTATTTTTTTTCGACCGCCCATCCCGTCGTGACTCGTTTCTCATGACTTGACTCGGCGCACGATCAAAGGAGAGCCAAAGACCACGATGTGAAGATGAAAGGCAAGAACGCGAGAAGAAGAAAGGACCCGAGAAAGCCGACGATGCCGAAAGGCAACCGGAGAAGAGAAAACCGGAACATTCCGCCACACCAGGTGAAAAGCGTGCGATGAAACAAAATGAGAAACGAGCAACGTGCCCTCGAGAGGGGAGAGCAAACCAAAAAGGAGAAGAAAAGGCAAGGTGAGGGAAGAAAGTGGAACGCGCGCAACTCGAGCGCGCCGATGACCACATTGGAGGCACGCTGACAACGAGAGGAGAAATGAAAGGCGGCGTGGGGAGGAGAGAGCAAAAGGAGGCCGCTGCCGTCTCCGTCCAAGGGACGCTCCGGCTCCGACTCCCGAGCCGAGCCCCTTCAAGGCCCGCGTCCGCCACTCAAACGGGCCGCAGTCCTTGCGTTGCCTTCCGCCCCCGAATCGGAACGGCGCTCCGGGGCGGCGTTCGGAGGATTTGGGCCGCGCTGCCGAGGGTCCGCTACGGCGGCCATGACGCCGGCAGCGACAGAAGGCGTGGGTGTCCGGGGTCAGAGGCTAATCCGGCAGCCGGGACCCTTTGCCCCCGTATTGTTAACCAATCTGCCCCTCGCTGGAAGACGAGCGGCGGGGACTCGGGGGGGCGGGACGGGGCGGGCGTCCTCTTCCCGCTAATGTCCTTCTCCATTCGCGCCCAATCGACTCCCAAAATGGCCCGTCCGTCTCGCGAGCCTTCGGGATCCGCCTCGCTGAGCCGACCGAGGTGGCCGATCAATAATTGGCTCCTCTGCTCTGCGGGTCGCCTTCGTTCGTTGAGGGCGGGCGGACGGCGCAAGAAAAATGCCAAAGTAAAGGACACACGCGCACGCACGCGCACGCTGACAAAAGGAGGGGCGGAATAAAATTCCGTGGCACAGCGCGCACTCCAGACTTGCTCGGCGGCGCCTCCAAATCACGTTCGATGGCGACTTTGGAAAAGGACGGAGGAAAAAAAAAAAAAAAATCACAAATTGTTGGCCCCGTCGTCGCTGAAACAGACATAAAGCACACGGCGGCCATTTCATGCCTTGGCGTGCCCGCGGGCTGCCGTTAATGGCGCCGTCGTACAAGCCGGAGACGACCGGAAGCCCTCCGAATGTTCTCTCTGACTCTTATTCACGGCTTGCAAACCGAGTCCCGTGGTCAGTTTCACACAGAGATCCCAAAGTGTGAACGAGCCTTTCATACAGAAGCCAGCCAAAAGGGGCCGGCGAGGGGGTGGGGGGGGGGGGCTATTGCCGCGCGGCAGCGACCCGGCATCCGGCAATCTAAAAATTCGAGGACGTCGGCGGCGGCACGGCGGGGCGCGGGGGGGGGGGGGGCTATTGCCGCGCGGCAGCGACACGGCATCCGGCAATCTAAAAATTCGAGGACGTCGGCGGCGGCACGGCGGGACGAGTGAGCGTGTGCGTCAAAGAAAGAGCCGTCCCGTGGCTTCCGCGCCCACACGGCCTCATCGCCGCAGAGACAGAAAACGCCGCGCGGAAATCAGCGGATTCAAGTTCAAGCACGCGACGGAAGATGAGCGAGCGGCATCCCGGGTGCATTCTCGCGTCGGAGTCGGTGGCGGGACGACGATGGGATCGCGCGCCGGCGACGGGGGCTCGCCTTGCCCACGCGCGAGGGCATCAGAGTCGCCCCGCGGCAGACGCTGTTGCTCGGGAGCTCGCGGGGAGAGTGCGGGCGCAGGCGTCCGCTGAAAATCGTCTCGGAACGCCGCTTATGGATTTGGCGGGTCGGCGCGGGTCTATCGATCGGCAAGCCTGTCATTTGCATGGAAATGCCGCCGCTCCTGACACCCGTCTAACCGATGGCGATATCGACGCGCACGCGCACGCTCGACTTTCGATCGTTGCTTTCAAACCGCCATCGATCCCCAAAAGTTGAGCCGGCTAACTTGGCAAAGTCTCCGCAAGGACGGGGGCGAGAAGCAACGCCAAGCAAGATCCCCCGCCCCCTCTGCGGTGGATCCTGGCGGGGGTGTGTGTGTGTATACATGGAGGAGGGGTGGGGGG